ATCTCATGCTTTGGCCAAAGACTGTAAGTTGCTAGTCTCAAGTTGCTCCACTTGTGCTCCTTCCAAGAGCTACAGGGCTAAACCCTGACGTTTACTCAGGACTTTTGTCATGGACTTTCTGCTGTCAGGGGAATGCAATTATTTTTTATAGTGGTCAACTCATTTTCCTGATGAAGTGTACTCCCTCTGCCACAGCCAAATTGTTCCTGCCATTCCTTGGCAATTATGAGTGCCATGATCTGGTATAATTTTGCTGAAAATTTGCCTGGGGCTCGCTAGAGTCACCAATCTATTACTCCTTGTGAGGTGTTCTGGCTAAGACCAAGTTGTCATTTAGACTCCATGCTTGGGTGAGCCATGTCACCTGCCATGGGGTTTGAACCATAAGGTTTCATCCTCAAAGATGTATTTTTTTAATAAGGCTTCTATTCCCAACATTGCTGAGAGCAATTTTTACTTCTCTTGGAAAATTGTTACAACAGACTCCAGTCTTCTGGGTTGATGAGTTCTGGACCATCTTTTTTTTTTTTTTTTTTTTTTTTTTTTTTTTTTTTTAACAGTGACCATCTGTCTTTTTTAGGTTTATTAGCAGGATTCCAGACTTCCAATCAGCATTCTAAAGTTGCGAGCGATACTTCTGTCATGCCTTCACTGACTGGTCATCCAGTACAGGTTCAATCAGACAATGCCACAGCTCTGACTTATACCAGGGATAACCAGAAATGTTGTGCCAGCGATCTCCACAGTGCAGGTTTCTGTGGGTAACTGAAATGCAGATCTCAGCAGAAAAGCACTATACCCAGGGGGCTTTTTCCTCTATTGTTAAATTGTCTAATATTATGGTATTGGGTCATTTGTGTGCATTAGGGTATGATGGATGTGGATTTGCTGGACAATTGGTTTGTTTCTAAGATACAGGACCCAAAGGTGGATGCAGAAGACATCCTGGTGCTGCTGTGGGAACAGTATGACCTAATTTACATATATTTGTTTCCTCTGAAATTCTTACCTCAACTACTGTACTTTGAAGAATTGAAGGGGAAAGCATTCCAGTAATTTTCATAGCTCTGGATTGGCTATTAAGGGTGTGGTACAATGACCATGTTCAGTGGTTAGTGAATGACTGCGACATCTACCAGATTGTATATACTCTGTATACAATGGTATTGTACAGAGCAGCCCCTTGCCTCTTCTTCTGGAGTCCTCTGCCGGGGCTGTCTGCTGTTTCTCCTGCATGAGTCCCCATAGCAAATCATGTGATATGGGAGTACACATGCAGGCACATTCCCGAGCCAGCCTGTGTGTGTCCATAGACATGCACAGTGAGGCTCTGCCACTGCCCCTGCTCCCTCCTAACAGGATTTGACTTACAATAGCAGGAGTCAATGGCACCCACTGCTGCCTGAGTCTCCTGTGAGACTAGGATGAGGTGAGAGAAGAGCTGCAGCCAGGCACAGCACTGGATCAAGGGAGGACTCTGGTAGGGTTTTATTCTTTTTTGGAGGGGGACAAGTGATAACACGTTTTTCACCTTAATGCATGGAACGCATTGTGGTTGAACTTTAGAATGCTTTAAAATAGAAGTTTAGCTTTTTTATTTCTAGAAATTCTACTTACCTAGATGGAAGCAGCATCGATCGAGCCCTAAAACTGAGAACTGAGTAATCAAAGACCACTGATTGTTAAATTCTCAGTGCTCTGTGAGCCGAGAGCCGGTGACTGCCAGTCACCGGCTCTCTGCCCTACCACCTACTCCCACGCTCACTGTAGCACTGGACTGTGGGGTGGGTGGGAGCAGCTGGCTTAGGCTCTCAGTGGATTTCTGAGAAGCTTAAAAAATTATTGTGATCGCGTGAACAGGCACCATAGAGAATAATTGATTTTTTTTAAGTTTAAGCATTTTTGGAGTTTCGAGCTTCAAGCTACAAAACGCTCAAGTGTGAATGCAGCCTTAAGCCTTCAAGCTCCAGACCCTGATTTGGGATTACAAAATCTAGAGAACACTGACAAGCCAGTCTCTCCACCCAGAAACAATACTCTAGAGTTTTGCACTTTGCCTTAATGCAAATTCTGTGTGTTTTTTGCCTACTCGCACACAATGGCAGGGCCTAGCACTGTCACAACTGGTATATACAGTAACTGATATAAAATACAAAATTTGCTGTAGCAAAAATCTACAGCATCAGCAGACTCACCTGATAAGTTTTATTTCTGCATGGGTGTCCCCACTGTGGTTATTCACCCACAGTCTTTGTCCTAGTGACTGTTGTCACCAAGACAAAAAGTAATGGGGAATCCTAAATGTTACAGTTGCCAATAGAAGTGCAGGTGAAGAGAAACACCTGTCTAAGTGTGTATTTCCCCTTACTTTGGAGAGATTTTGAGCTGATTCACACATGTGAGGTGTGGATTGAAGCTCAGGTTCAGTACGAATTGACACAGTAGTTGTTCACCTGTTCAGGTCAGGCTTATATCAGGTTCAGGTCAGGATTTTATTCTGTTCACATATGTGCGGTTTAGAAACGGTTCCCAGAGAAGTCAATAGCTTGTAATCCACACCTGAACCGAACCACACTGCTCAGAACTCGTACAGGACTCTTTTTTTAAACTGCACTGAATCAACACTGCTAGTGTTTGCAATAAAATTCCTTTTTCTGCACATCCACAAATCAGTGTACAGTCTCAGCATGTCCTGGGTGCCTCGATGGCCAATCAAGATAGCTGACCAGCTGACACTGGACCAGAAAGAAAACTTGACCAAGATTTGGCAACTGAGTGAAAAAAAGGACATGGCAGCAATTGATTTGCTAGAATAATTAGCTGTAGGAGGCATACGTGAGCCATAATGTGAAACAATACTGTTCATACTTGCGCATCATGGCTAGATCTTTAAGGTCCTATGTAGTCAGTTGCATTTTAAGTCAAAAATCACTACCTATTATATTTGAATGTGAATGTGCTGACCAATTTGTACAGTATACACTGTATTGAAATTAGCAAGCTAGGCATGATTCACAAGTAATTTGTTTGGACACCTAGGGGAAGATTTACTAAAACCGGAGTACACAGAATCTGGTGCAGCTGTGTATAGTAACCAATCAGCTTCTAACTTCAGCTTGTTCAATTAAGCTTTGACAATAAAACCTGGAAGTCTATTGGTCACTATGCACAGCTGCACCGGATTCTATGTGCTCCAGTTTTAGTAAATCTCACCAAGTGCATTATTTTGTATGTGTTACTATTTGGTAAAGACTAAGACAACTAAATATATACATATTCTGGACATAAAATGAACTGAAATGTGATTTGTGTGAGTTATTGCTTTAGAGAATAAGCTTGGGTAGGTCAGTAAATAGCCTGGTGTAACTCTTTTTTGTTTTCAGAAGTTCTCTCAAAAGCCATATAAGTAAATTTGCACTCACTTCTCCAGGGCATGGGAAGTACGGTGTAATTGGATCATTGCAACAAAAAAAAGGGGGGGGGGAGTAACATGCCAGATTTGAAGCCTTGTTACATAGTTAGTGTCAGGGCTCCAGGTATGACCAGAGGTGTGTGGACTGACACAGGGAAATGCAGGCTTCAGATATGGTATAAACAATATAATTTATTAAGACTAACAATACAAAACGCAGAGCAAAACTAAACATAAACACAGTGCAAACAAACCAAACCAAACCACCCACCGATAACAATACATACAATACAAAGAGTAGTCAGGCAGACCGGGTCAGTGGCAAACGGAGTACCAGGAACAGGCGGGAGAGTGGTCGGGGTCTCAAACTGGGTTCAGTAACTCATGGGCAGCGTGGTACAGAGGGTCGGGCAGAGAATGGTCAGGGTCACAAGCCAGGGATCAAGCAGGAGAAGTCAGCAGAGGTCAGGATCAGGCAGGGTCGGCAACAAGTCAGACAGGAACAGGAATACAGGATACAAGGTACAGGGGCCCATGGAAAAACACACACCAAGGCCCTGACTGTGAGTCTGGCCATTCCCTAAATACAACCCCTGCAATCAGCTTCAGGTGTTTGGCTGATTGCAGGGGTGAGTCTCTGATTGCTGAGAGCACCTGCTGGCCAGCCCTGGTACTGCAGCCCACAAGGCAGGTGAATCCCACCATTATTGGCAAGTCCATTCCTGACAGTTAGTTTTGGCTGAAAAAAGACAAAAGTCCATCCAGTTCAACCACACACAAAAAAAAAGTTCTAATCCTATACCCACAGTTGATCCAGAGGAAGGCAAAAAATCCCAGCAAAGCATGACCCAGTTTGCTCCTGCTGGGAAAAAAATTCCTTCCTAATCCCCCGAGAGGTAATCGGATATTCCCTGGATCAACTTTACCTATAAATGTTCGTATCCAGTTATATTCTGTGTATCCAAGAAAGAATCCAGGCCTTTTTTTAAGCAATCCACAGAGCTGGCCAGAACCAACTCTTGAGGGAGTCTATTCCACATTTTCACAGCTCTCACTGTGAAGAAACCTTTCCGTGTTTGGAGATTAAATTTATTTTCCTCCGGATGTAAAGCATGCCCTCTTGTCCTCTGTGATGACCTCAAGGTGAATAACTCTACACCGAGTTCACTATATGAACCACTGATGTATTTATACATGTTGATCATATCCCCCCCTTAATCTCCTCTTCTCAAGAGAGAATAAATTCAGTTCATCTAATCTTTCCTCATAGCTGAGCTCCTCCATGCCTCTTATTAGTTTGGTTACCCTCTCTATACTTTCTCCAGTTCCCCAATGTTCTTTTTGTGAATTGGTGCCCAAAACTGAACTGCATATTCCAGATGAGGTTTTACTAATGATTTGTACAGGGTAATATGATATCTCTCTCTCTGGAGTCTATGCCGCTTTTAATAAAAGAGAGGATTTTGCTCGCTTTAGATGTCCCAACCAGCATAACTGGAATGTCATGATTATACATATGTATAACAAATAAATTACATAGTTTTATGTATGTAGCTGAATGTAAAGAAAAAAATATTTTCCTCAACAGATCTGCCGGAAAATGAATGGCGTTAGATTTACTTGCTGTAAAAGTGCAAAAGACCGAACTTCTATGTCAGTGACGCTGGAGCAGTGCTCAATCTTGAGAGATGAACATGATCTTCACAAAGACTTCTTTGTCCGGGCTCTTGACTGCATGAGAAGGTATGTGCAGTATGTATGGTTGTTTGAACATCTATGAAAAGTTCTTGGGTTTCTCCCCCTTCATGCCTTTAGTCGGTCCCTGGAGGGAACCTTTTGTTACCCTCTATGTTTAAGTCTTAAAGAAAGTTGCAGGATTCCTCTGCAGTTCACGTTGCTTGTTATTGATGCTGCCCATAGTGCCCCTTTCCTCTGTGCTGTGAACATGCAGCCAGGAAGCATCTATGTCATACAAAGTGCAGTGACTCATAGCAGCCAATAAGATTTTATTTTACCATATTATGGCGACTGCTATATGAATTTTATGTTTTTACTAGAGGTGCCAAAGTAAGTTAACAAACCAAAAACTTTTTTTCATTTTGGATAGCATAAGGGAGGGATAAAACTGGTGTCATCTTTTCTTTCCATCCTGCCTAGTTAGGGAGATTTCCTTTCACGTCCTGTCCTGTAGACTCAACAGGAAGTAAGAGGATATCCTTACAATGCAAGGGAAACACCCTCTTAGATAGTTTTCAGGGGAACAAGTGTCCCCATTGGAGGATTCCCTTTCTAATCCTGTCCTGGTGGAAACTCATTATTAGGGATTTACCCTCATTTTCATTCCACATGACATTTGGTGATCAGGACAAATATGGAGAGTAAATCTCCTTAACAAGTTCTATCCCCTCACCATTTTATCCCAAACTAAAGAAAAAGTGCCTCTAGTTATTGTTTATTGAATCTACATCACCTAAAGCAGTAACTCCCACAAAAAAACCCAAAACATCCTTTATAAACTGAGTACAGTCTCAAAAGTGTGTATCCTTATATCCTATTAAACAATGAGAATAATTACAGGAAGCAAAATGGCATTCTTTTGCTGTCTGACAGGTTTTGGAAGGTAATAGGAATAAGTTTGGAATCCAAGTGTACATTATCTCATTTGTGGTTTTTAACAGCATACTGTATATATATATATATATATATATATATATATATATATATATATATATATATATATATATATATAAATATAACTGACAAACACAAAAAGCAAAGGTCACAAACGCCTATCAGCCACATATATGGGGCCTTGTGTGAACAACTTACCGTGCTTAGAGCGCACTCCTTGCTCACTCCCGACTTAGTATCCGGTGGGGATCGGTAAGCTTCTGATGCATACTTGCGATCGGGAGCTTTCCGGTCATGCGACAGCCTTTTACAGAGGTCACATGACTCAAATGCTCGCCTCTGCCTCCCACCTTTTAGAACTCTTAAAGCGCTAGGAGGCAGTCAGTACAAAGGAGTTAAAGGATGCAAAGAGTATATTCTAACAAAAATAGGAACAATAACAGTGTTGTAAGTAAGCCAAGAACTGAGAGTCTGTATTGTGATGGAACTCCTCTAGCTCAATGGATGCCCTGCAACCAGCTGATGCATTTTTTGGGACAATCCCCATTCCTCATAGCAAACCTTTGAGCAAGGAGGATTTGTCCTCGAAAACTCATCAACTGGTTACAGGACATCCAATTAAAGTAAAGGAGTTCCATCAAAATACATACCCTCGGTTCATGGCTTTTGTGCAACACTGTTATTATTCCTATTTTTGTGAATATGCACTCTTTTTATCCTTTAATAAAGTGATGTGGATAATGCACTAGGCGTTTTCTCCCTTTGCTTTTTGTGTTTAGTTACAAGATTCCATCTGACTAGGGCTGCATCAACTATATATTCCAGTTTTGATTGTCGATTTTTTTTTTCTTTGATTGTTTGATACCAAGTATACCAAGTTCAGATTCTCTGGAATCCTATGGAGCTTCAGTGTCAAGTTATTGTTCTTGTATACATCTCCTTGGTTTTTATGAGCTGCTGCACTTTGCTTTGTGCATCAATAGCAATAGACCTTCAAGCTTCATTCCCTGCTAACAGCTAATCAGTTTGACATTCACTTTATCCTGTTCCTATACATTTATGACTTGGAGGGACAGTGGGAATACCACAAAAAAAGATCTATTTGTTATGTAACATTCTACAAGGAGAAATGGTGTGCAGTAATCTATAGTATCCAAACATCAGTTTAGGATAAAATGATAGGGCTCATTCAGGTAAGGTCCATCTACTTGTTAAAAAGTTTAAATATACTGACTTATATTCTCAGACAATAGCCTTAAAAGCACAGTGTGAATAATGAAAACCAGGGTTTTCACAGAGCCATTTGAATCTGGACTCCGGACACAAGTCATTTCAGTTAGCTGTGAATACCCACCTACCGCACTGTATTTTTATAATGGTGTATAGGGTAAATAAAAACCTACAGCTTAGTGCAGTATTCATCTACTCTTTCATATTTATAAAGTGATGACTGATCTTTAACCTTACTCTCCCTCCACCCAAAAGACTTGTCTCAGGACCAGCTTTATTAAGTGTTGGACTGCAGCGCAACCAAAAGTTGAGGTCAGCACAGCACCAGTGGATGCTGGGACATGAAGTCCCAGAGGTGGTGGCTACATCACTGTTCAGTGATGTTATGCAGCCATGTTAAACCTCCTATGAATTGGTGCTTTTTTAATTTGACAGATGCACTGCAGCACAGGAGGAGAATTTAGTCTACCGTATTATGGTATGTATCATTTATAATCATGTTTAACTGCAATGCAAGGGCTAACAAAGGATTTGTTATACTACAGCTCTATTTGTGTTCACCAGAGTTTTTGGCATTAGTCCCTTCTTCAGCAACCACTAATGTGCCTTAACATAATCAAGCTGATCTTTCCTTCTCTCCCTACGCTCATGTGTATTTTAATATTTATATATTCTTGATACCTAATTAAAACATTCTAATGGATACTTCAGCTCATAATTGGCATGTTCCCTAATTTAGTAAATATTCTAGGGGCATTTATAAATATTATATAAATGTTCTGAGATATTATAGAAATGGGACTCTCCCAAAATAGGAAATCATGAGCAAGGATTTGGAGCACCTGTACTGCATCCCACCTGCCACTGTGCAAGTTTCAAACAGTCTTTATGGAAGTTTAATACCTTTAAATGGTTTTGATTTATGTGACTTGCTGAGTACCTTTTCCTTTAGACACTGTCTGGGGGAGGAAGCAAAATTACTTCTGTATATCACTTCACATGGATTTAGCCAGGGCTAGTTTATGTCAGGGATTAACGCCCCTGGATTAGCTCATAGAGTGAGCTAGACTGGTGTTGGTAACACCCACCAATGATGCTGTTGACATGGTTGTGACAACTCCTTGTATTGCTAAGGACTACATTGGGTGGGTCTATGACAACGAGGCCACTGGCGAGCAGTTAAGGTGACACTGGGCACAATGCAGACTTGAACAAGAGAATTTGCCACTGAATTTGAGTGTTACCAAACCACTGATCGTTATGACTCAGTGGAAGAGGTGAACCTTCAGCTTTAATCCTGACTATGTGGCATAAAGTCTTTTTGTGTTGCAAGAAGGAACAAAGGCTTCTAAAGACTCATACTTTCTCTGTAGCCTGTGCAATGCTACCCACAAGTGCTTCCCACAACACAAATTATGTTCTACAAAAAATTTAGGATTATTAACTTTAGAGTTATTTGCAATAGTTAATGTCCTATATAATTATTGTGTAGGAATGAACCTATGCTGCATCATCTACTTGAGTTCCCAGTTGATATAATTTGTTTACTCAATGACTGGCCGATACAGCTTTTCACAGTAATTACAGAAATTATATTATTTTTATTTCCCCAATACGTAAAATTTTCATGGAGCTCTGTTAGTAACAATAACAAAATGCCAGATGTTCTGAGTTTAGCCCCTTATAAAGGGGCCCCTTCAAGTGTTCTTAGCCAAATGGCTCAATACACAAGAGACCTCAGTACAGCATTTCCTTGCCTATATGCTGTCAGACTGAAATAAACTCTACTTTCAGCATTTTGGAGAGGAGGCTAATAATTGCAACCAGTACATGCAAAAATTTCTTCCCCAACTTATTTCTTTAGAATATATTGTATAAACCAAGCTGGTCATTGCCATGCTTTGATTCAAGGATAGCAAACATGGGTTTAAGCCAATATATTCTACCCATTGTATGACACTAACCGGTTAAAAACAAATCAAGGTAAGAGTGTTATAAAAACATCCTGTACTTATGGAAAAAAAAAAACACACACCCTTCTTTTACAACCAACAGCTGAACACCAAGCTATAATCCTAAATGAGTAACAGGATACAATAAAGAAAAGAAAGGGTTACAGCACTCTCTTACAATAAATCCTTATAAAGTGACTCAAATATTCTGCCATCAAGTGTTTAATACAGAACATTCAAAATAATGTGTAAATCCTATGAAATTACTAGTGTTATCTAGAAACCGTTTTTAATGACATAAAACGGTGCACACAAAACTTATTAATAATGTGCCTCTTAAGAGACCAAACGCAATGCCATGGGGCACTGTTTCTCCCTCTGACACCAATGATTGGACACTATTCCTCCCATCGACACCAATAATGGGGCACTGTTCCTCCCATCGACATCAATGATGGGGCACTGTTCCTCTCATTGACACCAATGATGGGGCACCGTTCCTCTCATCGACACCAATGATGGGGCACTACTTTTCTCACTGACACCATTGATGGGGCACTGTTCCTCCCATCGACATCAATGATGGGGCACTGTTCCTCTCATCAACACCAATGATGGGGCACAATTCCTCCCATTGACACAAATGATGGGGCACTATTCCTCCCACTGATACCAATGATGGGGCACTATTCCTCCCACTGACAATAATGATGGGGTATTATCCTCCCACTGCCACTGATGATGGGACATTGTTTACTCCCACTGACGCCAGGACATTTTCTACCCCCACTGGCCACAGTGCGCTCCCTAAAGTTTGAAGGACAGTAAACTGGCCCTTTGTTTAGAAAGTTTGGAGACCCCTGGTCTACACAAATTTCAGTTGGACTTTATATGTATTACACTTGGTCACATAATAAGCATGTTATTAAT